CTTGAAGTGCTTTAGGTAGAAATTCCTTCAGCATGAATGGCGTTCTTTTTGGTTGCATGTATTCTTCTTCATTGAGATTCCTTGTCTTCTTGGCTCTTCTTCTTTTCTTTTTGTTCTTTTTTAATTCGGGTCTCCCGATAAATCAAATACCTGAATGTTCGATCGTCCTTGCATCTTTTTGTAAACGATTTTCATTCTTCTTGGACTTACTATTTACATGAAAGTGCCACTCATTCCCCAACTTAGGTTTATTGTCTGGTATATCTTCCCACATTTCAATACTTGGTTCATTCATGAGTTCATACAACGTGGGCATGTTGGCATTGCTTGGAATAAGTGTCTCAGGACATATGTTGACAACCTTTACCTCATCCTCTATTTCAAAGGCTACCGGGATGGTGCCTCTTAGTAGGGTATTCACTGGTAAACGGTCGTCATCTACTAATGAGACGGTATTTGATGTTGCTTTTGGACATGAAGAATCCACTTCTATTTTTTTTTTTTTATCATTCCTTCGACTATATTCTTCAGGACATAACAATCCTTTAAGGAATGACTGATGATGCGATGGTATCGGCAATAATTGGGATCATCGGTCTTATCAACTTCATTTGGCCTTTTTTGGTCCGGGAGTTTTATTGCTTTTGCAGCAAGTAACTCATCAAAAATTTGCTCCACATCCTCATCATCAAAAGAATATTTAACCTCTTTTCTTTCCTTAAGAGTGAGTTTCTTTGACTATTCTCTTGCTTTTCCTTTGTTTTGATTCTTATCATTCTTAACAAAGGTAGCCATTGTTTTGGTCTTTTTTAATGGCTTTTTATTTTCAACTTTCCTCTCTTATGGACGAGATCTCATCATGGCACCTTTCTAACGAGCTATTTGCCTTTCAACCACGCTTGCCTTTGAAACCAATTCATTAAAAGATTGTGGTTCCACAGTTCCAATAAAAGTAGCCACTTCTGGCACAAGATTATTAACACACATGAAAACCAAAGAAATCTCTGTCAATTTTTTCGGGCATTGGAGGTTAAGATTCCCCCATCTAGTGATAAAGTCATTTGCACTTTCTCCCGGTCTTTGCTTAGTTTCCACTAGATCTGTGATTGTTACTTTCTTTTTTGAAGAGACAAATTGGGCTAGGAATGCTTTTTGCATATCATCCCATGTAATAATGAAACCTGGAGGAAGTTGTGTGTACCATGTGAATGCTGCCCCTTTTAGAGATTGCATGAACTGTCTAATCAATAGTGTATTTGATTGAGCAGTCTCGCCGCATGCAAAGGTATAATATGTCAAATGTTCGTGTGGAGACCCATTTATCCCATCGAATTTTTCAAAATTTGGCCTTACATAATATCGAGGGAAAGGGATTTGATCATAATGTGCCGGGTAAGGCTTTCGGTACCCTAATACTGGCATACACATAGCAGCTTGATATTCTCGTATTCCATCCATAATCAACGTCCTTAAGTCTGGTTGTGGTATCGGATCCGCCGGCTATCTTGTTTCAGTTCTCAAGCCTGATTGAGGTATTGGGGATGTAGATGTCTGTCCTAGTCCAGATGCTTGACCTATACCCATATTTTCTTGCAAATGTATAGAGAGTCTTGCGACTTCAGCCTCCTTTTCAGCAAGCATCCTTCTCAATTCTCGGATTTGCTCACCTTGCTCCTCCATGCTTGTCATTCCAATAACTAAAACTGGCATATTTCTTGATTCTATATCGTCATCAGCAGTTGACACTTCCATTTGGCCTATTAGAGGTGTATCTCTAATCGTTTGAGGACTAAAAGAATCATGCATACAACATACCTTTGATTGTGTGATTGGTCCCTTATATCGTACCGTTGCATTTCTTTCTCCTTTGTCGTCAACAGTAAGCTGTATCATTGGACAATTCTTGGTCATAAAGATCAATCCTTCGTCATCTCGCTCTTGGTTTTGATCGTTGAATAATGGCCCAAGATTCACTTGCGGCATTCTTGGTCCACCACTCCTAACTTTCTTCACTGAGTTTTCACCAAGTTGAGTGACCAAGCCCATTTGATCTCTATCACTGACTATTACCTTCAGTTTCCCTTTTTGTACACTCTTTTCGGGAATCTTTGAAACATTTGGTGATGTAGTGAAGCTGTCCACCTCTTTTGTTATTGGAGAAGCTGGAGTAGATATCTTTTCAGCACTTGTCATCATAACAGATTCTACCGTACTGATATTAATAGGGATCAAACCAATCATAATCTGAATTGGTCGTTGATCAGTGATTTTAACGGTTTCTGTAGGACAAGTCTTGACAATTTTGACTGTTTTAACCTTCGCATCCTCGGCGATCTTCGGAAGGAGAATGGCTATGGTCTTCACAGCTTGCTTAAACTTTCTTTTGGCAGACCTTGCTTGTCTCTTCTTCAATCCTTTGGCAGCCTTACCGCAAAGAGCCTTCGAAGATTGTTTCGCTTTGGAAACCTCAAGAATTTTTGTCACCATGGCAGCAGCAGGTGCCCTAGTGATTACGAAGGTCGTCTTAAACCCCACATTCTTCTGCTCCCCAGCAAACCTAACGGATATGAGTTGATGGAAGTACATAGTAACTTATGGTGCCATGCTGCAAAACAAATTGACACAAAGGGTTACATTTGAATAAAATATTGCCATTATAACCGGAGATGAAAAGGAGAATGGGTCCCACCGGGCGTGCCAAAAACTATGTTGAGTAAAAATATTTATTAATTTTAAAATAATATTTTACACACAACATAATTTCACCTATACTATGATTTAATTAGCATAGGAGTTTATTATTTTTAGTTCGACCCATTCAAGCTTATAAGAATAACCTCTTAATTACAATCCCTTGGTACAAGAGAAAACCTTTTGATTCCAATTAAAACAGTAATTACTAATTTTTGTGAATTTGAGAAATTTTGGTTGATTTAAAATTGCAGCTGAACTCGGTGAATTTAGCCGAGTTGCCTACATACCCCATTAGGGAATCAAGCCACTTGTAGTTCGAATTTTGGGTTTCAAAATTTTAGATTTTCCTCGGTGTATGACTTTATGAGAAATTTACGCACTTTGAAATTTGATTTAGTTTTGTTTTGATTTTGTCTTTTATGAGGATTTAATGATTGAATTTGATCTTGAAACTACACCTAAATTTTAGGTTGCCTATGTATCCAATAGGGAATCAAGTCAATCGTAGTTCTTGAATTTGAATTTGGATTTTAGAGAATTCCCCGATATATGACCATAGGAGGAACTCAAAGATATTTTAAAATACAATTTGGAATTTTACTTTAGAATTTGGATTTGAAAGTTATATTTGGATAATTTCCCGGTATATGACCTTATGGGGAATTAAAAGGATCCTTTTTGAATTTAGCGTTGAGAGATTTTTTTTATTTGAATTTGGGATTTAAAACTTGTATTTAATCACCATATTGTTTTATGAGATATTGAGCTCATCTTTTTGAATTAAGGGGTAATAAATGGACTCAATTTGTGCACTTTAAATTTTTGAGTATTTAATATTCCGAATTTTTTTGAAATTTATCCTCCATCCCTTATCTTTTTTTTTTAAATTTTAAATTTTATCATATCTAAACTAATTGATTTAATTATATGATGTATATCCCTTCTTTTTTGCTAACAATTTAATTTCAAAAGAAACTCAAATTTCTCTCACCCTCCTCCTTTCTACACGTTTTTTTTATATATATATGTATACATTACGCTGCAAAAACAACATTGGCAACTTTTTGATATATATATATATATATATATATACATATATATACACACACATTACGCTGCAAAAAAAACATCGCAGGTGCAAAGTTGGTAACTTTTTGATATATATATACGTGTACGCGAACATCAATTCCCATCATATTTTGATTTGTGTGTAAAGCTATCAGCCCAACAAAGCAAGACACACACCCACGGCTTTATCTCACACACACCCACAGCTTTATATATACACTGTGAAGGAATTGAAGGTGACGTTTGTTCCTTTTTTTTATCTTCCTTTTTTTTATTATTTTTTGATGGGTATAGTGCGATTCATATGAATATTTTCATATATATCATATACACATAATTTTTCATATGTCGATCTTTAAAGTGTAATTCGTATGAATTTTTTACTCGAATTGCACTCAAAACAATCATAATAAATAATTTGAAAAACTTTTAATCTTTGATTTTTTGAAATCACATTTGACTTATATAGATCTCTAAAAAGAAATCCAAGTCTTAGTGATAATCATAGGATTGTGATAAGAACGAGAAACTACACACCATGAGTGCATTATGAATTTATTAAGAGTATTACAAATAAGAAATCTTCAAGGACCAAATCACAATCCCACATTTTAAAGTGTATATAGGACTTGATTTAAATGCACTGTATATGTTTAATAACACAAAAAATTAAAACTGTCAGTGTAGAAAAATACCAAAATATCAAAATATGTATTTACCTTATTGTTTTGAAATACCACGATACACTTCTTAAAATGTATATTTTTCTCTCACGTCACTGTCACCTGCACCGCACCTTTTTTTTTTCTCTTTTCTTCTCACGTTTCCACACACACCGGCACCCTTTTTTTTCTTTCACTTCTCACGTTTCTCCACACCTGCACACACCTGCACTTTCTTTTTTTTTTCTTTCTCTCTTTCACGCGCACACGCATCTGCACACAGAAATTTTTTTTTTCTGCACACACGTCTCTAGATGAAAAGCTCTCCCCCCAAAAGTTTTTTTTTTCTCTTCTGCACTCACTTTCTTTATATAAGAGAATTTTACATTCTGTATCACGTTTTGCACCACGTTCTGCACCACGTTTTTACACCACGTTCTGCACCATGTTTTTTTACTACTACTCCACATTTTAAAATGTGTGTTTTTTTTTAATTCTCCTTCTTTTATTATTATTATTATTTTTTTTACCAGCACAAAATTGAACCAGTACAAAATTTTATTTTCTCCTCTTATTTTTTTTAAGACAATGATTCATCATCCAATGTGTATATATATATATATATATATATTTACCGCGAACACCCATCAGAATATTTCAAGCCAAGGAAAAAAAAATGGAACTTTCCAAGCTCGAGCAACAAAAAACCAGATCACTTTGCCATGTCCTAGCCGTCCCTTATCCCGGTAGGGGCCATGTGAACCCCATGATGAACCTTTGCGAGTTACTACTATCTAACCAAAAAGATCATAATCTTTTTATGACTTTTGTTGTCACGGAAGAGTGGCTAGGCATAATTGCATATCACAATCCAAAATTTATTTCCAATTACCAAATACACTTCAGAACCATACCAAATGTTCTTCCGTCTGAGCTGGTTCGAGGAAAGGACTTTCCTGGCTTCTACGAGGCTGTTATGACAAAGATGGAAGCGCCCTTTGAACAGCTTTTGGACCAGATTGAACCGCCTGTGAGCCTTGTCATTGCAGACATGGAGCTTCTTTGGGCCGTCCCCGCCGCTAACCGCCGGAACATCCCGGTTGCCTCGCTTTGGACCACGTCGGCTTTGATGTTTTCTATGTTTAGTCACTTTGATCTCATACAAGCTCGATGTTTCCGAGGTACGCACACAGCCATAGAAAAAATAATATATTTTCTTGTTCGGAAAATTACAAAAAGGAAAAAAATAATAATATTTGACACGAATAGTCCTTAATTTCTTTAATGGATAATAATTTAATCCTTATTTTTTTAATTTTAATAAAATGATTTTTAACATTATTAAATTAGTGTAATTAAATCATTTCGGTTCAATTTGTCAAATGTTTAACGAAATCTTTCACGCAACGGTTACATCTCTTTTTTGATGAAAATACAAAAATACTCTCATGTCTCACAAGAACCAACTAAAACCTGTTTCATTTTAAATAAAAATAAAAAACTAACTTCTTTCTTTCTTCTAGTCTGATCCAACCTCTAACCCTAACAAGAGCTGCCGCCTCCATATCTGCCGGCGCCGCGCAAGCCCAACCCAGTGTTGAACTGAGCCTCAATACTGCTTCTAGATTCCTACCCCTCTTCTCTTTGGACTCCAATCGGATATTCACCACGAATCGCGGCATTGAGACTTCAATTTTGGTTTTAAATTTTTGAGTCTTCTCTGGGTTATTCCTCGTTTTTCTCTTCCCCACCCTCTGTTTGATTCCCCAACAAAAAAAACCCCTATGCTAATTTTGACTATCGGAGATTCAACCATGACAGGTAAGGCCAAGCTGAAGAAGCACACAACGAAGGAGATCGCCGCCACTGTTACCACGACTCGCGGGGGCGGAAAAGCCGGCCCTACCGACAGCTGCAACGCGAAGAAGGACGATCATGCGAAGTTTGAGTGTCCGCACTACAAGACTACCGCACCTGACATTAAGTCCATACATATTCTTTTCCTATAAATGGATCTGATTTTATTCCGGTGAAGTTCCACTTTCCTTCTCCATTAATTTGGCTTTTCTTCTCCGTTAGATGCGGAGAGGTTATTAGCTTGCTTTTCTTATTTTTTTTATAATTAGTTATTAGTATTATTAGAATATTAGTCCATAGATATGAAGATGGTCTTTTCTTTTCTTTCTTTTTTTTTTTTTTTTTTTTTTTTAAATGCTTAAATTTAGCATGTTATACTAATTTGACAGTGCACTATAAATTTTCTTAAAAAAAAAAAAAAAAAAAAAATCGCAGTTGTGTCTCGTGAATCGTGGGTACTAATGATAATTGACATTCTAATACATTGTGTCCAACCGTAAGGATGTTTTTTCTTCTTCTCTTAGAACGTGTCCTGCTCGATGCTCTACAACACCCTTCTAAGACCCATACAATCTATTGTGTGCCGCTAGATGTATTGTGGCATATTTCATCCTTCAAGTAAAATTGGTCAAATCCTTCCCTTTCTCTTTACAAGCTTTGCGATTGAATGCCGATTTCTAAAGTGACGAAGGGGTAAGGAATTCACGATACCAACAAAAAGTGCCCTTTTATTAATGATTGATTAAACAATTCAGAATCAAAGATAAGTTAATAATTCATGGCCAGTTTTTTGAAGTGTGATTTGAGTGTAATTATTGAGTTGAATTTAAGTTATAACTTGAGTTGAGTTGAAGTTGTAATTTGAGTTTGTATTTGATTGTATACATTTGAGTTATGGTTTGAGATAAAAATCTTTTTGAGTTTGTGTTTGAGTAAGTCAAAATTTTAATTTATATTTAGATAGTATTTTAATAAAAACTCAATAGTGATAAAAAAATTTAATAGGATATATAGGTGAGTTTTATTCATCTTTTCGTTATTAACGCATAGAAAAAAAATCATCTCAATTATGATTAAAATAAAAAAGTTATAGTATTTTTAAGAATAGAAAAAATATTATTTATTAATTTAAATTTGAGTTTCTGAACTCAAATTAAAAAGAAAATTTGAACTTGAGTTTTAATCCCAAACTCAAATTCAAACTTAAATTCAAATTTAAAAAAATATAAACTTAAATAAAATTAAAATTAAAATTGTTATTTTTTAAATTTTTAAGGCTGCTGAACAAGGCCTCAATCATTTATAAAATTAATTCTAAGGGTTGAGAGAAGGTAACTTTGCAGAGCACCACTAATTCAATAAAAGAACTCCCTAGATTATTTCCCTATTCCTTAATTCTCTCCTAATTCTTCTATCAACAATCTCTGCAATCCCAATTTCGCTCCCAAAATCTTTCAGAAACAGCAACACAACATCATTTTTTCACAAAACATGAACCCCTCCAACGTCGAGCCAATAGCCGCCTGCCACGTGGTGGCGATCCCTTTTCCCGGCCGAGGCCACATCAACCCAATGATGAACCTCTGCAAGTTTCTGTCTTCAAGAAAACCGGACATCCTCGTAACCGTCGTAGTCACCGAAGAGTGGCTCGGCTACATCGGCTCCGACGCCAAGCCGGACAACATCCGCTTCGCCGCCGTGGCTAACGCCGCCCCTCCGGAGCGGCTAAAAGCCGTTGACTTCCCGGCGTTCTACGAAGCCGTCATGACCAAGATGGAAGCTTCTGTAGAGAAGCTACTTGATCGGCTCCAAGCGCCGATCAACGCCATCGTGGCTGACATAGAGCTGCTCTGGAGCGTCAATGTCGGAAAGCGGAGGAATATTCCCGTGGCTTTGTTTTGGACCATGACGGCGTCGTTTTTCGCCATGTTGCACTGTTTTAATCTCTTCGCAGAGGATAACAATAATCTGCCGCCTCGTCTTTTGGTGGGTAAGTAAATCACTGTTCTACTGCGGATATAATCCATTTTTCTTTTCTTTTAAAACATAATTATGAAAACGTTGATAATGTTCGCCCTAACTTTATTTTTTTATTAAATTGATAATGTTGGGATCTTAATTGTAATCCCTCTAGGTCTACCAAAATTGATATATTTCTTTCTTTCTTTCTTTCTTTATGTAATAAAACTCTTGTTTCAATTATGTATTGGAAATGGAAGGGTAATGCTAATGTTTATTATTACAAGAGAAAAACAGAAAGTGGAAGAGACGAAAACAGAGGTGCAAATGAATGAATTTTCACTCTGAATTAAAAATGATCAGCATACATTTACATGTATTTATATTGATGTAAGAAAGCGGTTATAACTTACATTTGTGCAGCTAAGCACTAACAGAATTTAGAAACAGAACAACAAACTCTAAATTAACTAACCGCCTAACTGTACTGCCTAAAACGCCCCCTCAAGATGGACTGTGAATATCCTTAACAGCCATCTTGGATAGTAAAGAAAACAACGAAGGAGCAGGCAAAGCCTTAGTGAAGAGATCTGCAAGCTGATGTTGAGAACATATGGGCATAAGTTTGATTGTGCTAGCAGCAACTTTATCCCGCACGAAATGACAATTGATCTCAATATGCTTGGTTCGCTCGTGGAAGATAGGATTGGATGCAATATGAATAGCAACCTGATTGTCACAAAACAAAAGAGTTTGAGCAAAGGTAGGAAAATTGAAAGTGGCAAGGAGCTGTTGAATCCAAACAACTTCACTGGTGACAGCAGCCAAGACGCGATATTCAGTCTCTGCAGAGGACCGAGCAATTGTAGTTTGCTTTTTGGCTTTTCAAGAGTTTAAAGAATTGCCAAGAAAAACACAAAATCCAGTAATAGATTTGCGGGAGTCAGGACAAGACGCCCAATTAGCATCAGAAAAAGCCTTTAGCTGCATAGAAGAGGAAGAAGAAAAGAACAAACCCTGTCCAAGTTTATTCTTAAGATACCTCAAGATGATGAGTAGCTTGCAAATGAGGAACCCGTGGTTTGGACAAAAACTGGCTGAGTTTTTGCACAACAAAGGTAATGTTAGGTCGTGAAAGAGTAAGATATAATAAACGGCCAATGAGACGCCTATACTAAGAAGGATCCGATAAAAGATCCCCATCAATAGCATTAAGCTGAAACTTAGGATCCATTGGAACAGTCGCAGGCTTGGAGGCCAAGAACCCCGTGTCTTCAAGTAGTTGCTAAGTGTAGTGGCTTTGAGAAAGTGCAATACCCTTGGAAGCTCGAGCAATTTCAAGGCCAAGAAAGTACTTCAAGGACCAAGATCCTTAAGTTTGAACTGAGTGTGCAAAAACTCTTTGAGAGAGGTAATTGCAGTATGAGACGGACCAGTAATAATGATGTCATCGAAGTAAACCAATAGGACTACAAAATTGGATCCCGAGCCTTTAACAAAAAGAGAATAATTTGATTTTGACTGAGTGAAACCAAACTTGATCAAGGCATTGGAAAACTTCGAGTACCATTGCCTTGATGCTTGTTTAAGGCCGTAAATTGACTTATGAAGCTTGCACACAAGCTTATGCTCTTGGTTAACCACCATTCCTTGACGTTGATACCTAAGAGGAAGATCCATGTAGACTTCTTCAAATAAGTCCCCATTTAAAAAGGCATTATTCACATCTAACTGCACTAAATGCCAATCATGACTTGCAGCTAGAGCAAGCAAAACTTTGACAGTAACCAACTTGGCAACCGGGGAAAAAGTCTCAGTGAAATCTACACCTTCTTGTTGTGTATAGCCCTTAGCAACCAAGCGAGCTATATAACGCTCAATTGAACCATCAGCTTTGTACTTTATTTTGTACACCCATTTGCATCCAATGGTGTGTTTTCCAGCAGGCAAAGGAACAAGAGACCACGTCCTGTTAAGTTCCATGGCAGATAACTCTTCCTTCATAGCCTCTTGCCAATGTGGGAACTTGACTGCTTGGTGGAAAAACTGGGGTTCAAATTGGGAAGAGACATTTAAAACAAAATGCTTGTGGGAAGATGAGAGAGAATCATAGGAAATGTAGTGAGATATAGGATATAATGGTGTGGGTTAAGGAGAAGACTGAAGAGAAATTAAACTGCAGTGAAAGCCGCAAAGATAAGAAGGGGGATGAGTGGCCCTAGAAGAACGTCTAAGAGGAATTATGGCTGGTGTAGAACCATGTTCTGGTAAGGGAGATGGTGGAGAAGCTGTTTGAGGTTGAAATGGAGGTGGGATAAAAGTAAGAGATGGAGAAGGCAAGACAAGATCAGCAAATGGATCCACCGAGGAATCTGCATGAACAACAGTATGAAATGGAAAGATATCCTCATGGAACACAACATCTCGAGATATAAAAAACTGTTTTGTCGTCACATCATATAACTTGTATCCTTTCATGCCTGTTGGATAACCCAAGAAAACACAAATCCTAGCTCGAGGATCAAACTTGGTTTTGTGAGCTGGCAGAGTTGAGGCAAAAGCCAAACAACTAAAAAGTCGAAGTGACAAGTAGTCCACAATAGTTTTATAAAGCAGTTCAAAAGGAGATTTGTTGCCAAGAAAATGAGAAGGGGTCCTATTTATAAGAAATGCCACTGTAAGAACACATTCACTCCAAAAGGAAATTGGAACTCTTGACTGGAAATACAATGCTCGTGCAACATTCAAAAGATGCTGATGTTTACGCTCCACAACAGCATTTTGTTGAGGTCTATCAACACATGAAAATTGATGTAAAACACCCCTGTCAGAGAAAAATTCAGAGAAATCTAACTCAGCATTATCATATGAAATGCCTTTATTCTGCTGCTAAACTGAGTGAGAATCACATTAAAAAAATGAGGTAAGATCTTTGCTGCATCATACTTGTGTTTAAGAAGAAACACCCATGTAAATCTGGTACAGTCATCAACAAGAGTGAGAAAGAATCTATGACCAAACCGAGCACTCAAATGACAAGGGCCCCATATATCACAGTGTATAAGATCAAAAGGAAATTGAGATTTATGATTGTGAGAAACAAAAGGCAATCTCCGATGCTTTGCCAATGGACATATGTAGTAGGGATCATTATTATTACAAAATAGATCAAGAAAATGTAAAGTGTTTTTCAAAACACCTAGTACTTTGGAAGATAAATGGTCCAATCGACGATGCCAAGTATGAAATGAAACATTATTTACACTTATGGCAAAAGTGTTTTGCAAAGAATCTGCTAGTGAACCTGTCAAGAACACATATAAGTCTGCAACTCTATCACCCTTGCCAATCATCCTCCGGCTGATAAGATCCTGAACCTTGAAGTGATCAGGTAAAAACTCAATAGTAAGCTGAGAAGCAGCACTTAGAGCACTCACGGAGATCAAATTAAATTTGAATTGGGGAACAAACAAAACATCCTTGAGAACCATTTGTGAACTTAGTCTCACATCTCCACAAAGACTAACAGGAAAACTAGCATTATTGGGCAGAGTAACCCATGCATTTCTTATAGGCCTCATAGAAAGAAAAGCATTTGCATTGAAACAAATGTGCTTGGAAGCTCTGGAATCAACAATCCAAATGTGTTCAGAAGAAAGAGAAGAATCCAAAGAGACAGAAAAGCATATACCTGCCAAATGTGAATTTGAGGAATCATCTTGCTGTTTGAGGTTGTAACTGAAGAAGCCAAGTGAGAGGAAAGCATGCTCATCAGTTGTTGATATTGGTTGTTGTTCAAGGTCTTGATGAAACCCCCAACGTCTCCAGTACTCTGATCTTCGGAAAGAGACCTGTTAGAAACCTAATTAACTAACACATTTTGGCCTTTTTGTTTCTGCTTGTATCCAGGAGGATAGCCATGAAGCTTGTAACACCTATCAACAGTATGTCCATGGAAGTTGCAATGATTACAGAATGGCCTTTCCTTCTTTGAATTGCAGTTTCCACCAGAAGGACATGCCTCTCCACTGGATTTCTTACCAACATCATTACGAACAACAAAGGCCAAATTATTAACAGGATCAAAAGTCCCATAAGTGACTTGATTGCTAACTGTCAATTGATGTTCCTCTTGAGGAATAAGGGAAAACACTTTGTTTATGGGCGGGATGGGATCCAGTAGCAACAACTGACCACGAACTTGAGAAAAGGAGTCATTCAATCCCATGAGAAAAGACATAACATATTCCATTTGAAAATAGGAAGTTAATTCCTTGATTCCACCACAAGTGCATTTTCCACAAGTGCACTTAGGACGGAAATTACTCAATTCCTCCCACAACGCTTTGAGCTTGGTGAAATAAACAGCAACATAATTTTGATTCTGATTGTGATTAATCAGTTCACGACGAAGTTGAAAAATCCTAGGTCCGTTACTTTGTTGGAATCGATCCTTAAGATCAATCCAAATATCATAAGCAGATTCAAAAAAGATTATACTGGCAGAAATTTCTTTCGATACCGAATTCAAAATCCACGAAATCACCATTTGTTCCTAATCCAAGAATTGAGAAGAATCAGATCATTACCGTTAGGTTTCGAAATCGATCCGTCAACGAATCCAAGCTTGTTTTTCACAGACAGAGCAATGACGATTGCTCGACTCTAGGAAGCATAGTTGTCACCTGTCAAGTTCTGCGAAACAAGAACAAGTCCAGGGCTATCAGAATGATGAAGAAAATAGGGACTCGAGAGATCATCAATGGCGGTCTTGACAACTGACACCGCTGGAGTACTAGATCCAGAATGAGAATCCTCCATGAGATCCAACAAAAGAAAGAAATCACAACGAACAGAAAAAAAAAATCGAAGAAACAAATCAAATTGAGACAAAAAAATCAACAGCTTCAACAAATAGCTCTGATACCATATTACAAGAGAAAAACAGAAAGTGGAAGAGCCGGAAACAGAGGAGCAAATGAATGAATTTTCACTCTGAATTAAAAATGATCAGCATACATTTACATGTATATATACTGATGTAAGAAAGCGGTTATAACTTACATTTGTGCAGCTAAGCACTAACAGAATCTAGAAACAGAACAACAAACTCTAAACTAACTAACCACCTAACTATACTGCCTAAAATTTATTGATACAAGTTCTTAACGTTGAATGACATAATATTGTTATTTCTAGGTATGTCTAAATATGATAACACTCGAATAAAATTACAAACGGTTTTTTTAAAAAAAGGTTTTTTTTTTTTTTTTTTTTTTTTTTTTTTTTTTTTTTTTGACAAGGCAATTGATAGATGTCTGCCTTTGTGTTATAGAGGGTAGTGATGACAAGCAATTGGAACACGTACCAGGACTTTCAACCGGGCATGTAGCAGACCTTCAAACAGTCATTCAGAAAACTGACAAAAGAGTCCTGAAACTTGCCTTGGAATGCATTTCAAAGGTGTCAAAAGCTCAATATCTTCTGTTGACTTCATTCTACGAGTTTGAACCCCGAGCTATGGATTCACTACGCACACAATTCCCTTTTCCTGTCTACCCCATTGGCCCCGCCATACCTTACTTAGAACTTGATCAACACAACTCTTCAAGCTCTACTAGTAGAGAAGAACACGACTATTTTCAATGGCTGAATTCCCAACCATCAGGGTCTGTGTTGTACATCTCACTGGGAAGTTTTCTTTCGGTCTCGAGTGCCCAAATGGACGAAATTGCTTACGGGCTGTGCGATAGCGGTGTTAGATTCTTGTGGGTGGCTCGATCAGAAGCCTCTCGGTTGAAGGAGATTTGTGGTGATCTGGGGTTGGTAGTGCCATGGTGTGACCAGTTAAAGGTGTTGTGTCATTCTTCTGTAGGGGGATTTTGGACTCATTGCGGATGGAACTCCCTTTTGGAAGCTGTTTTCGGAGGTGTTCCAATGCTTACTTTCCCTTTGTTTTTAGACCAATTTCCCAATAGCAGACAAATTGTCGAAGATTGGAAGATTGGGTGGAGGGTTGAGAGAGATACGGGAAATGAAAATCTGATGAAAAGAGAAGAAATTACTAAGCTTGTGAAGAGGTTTATGGACCATGAAAGCAGTGAGGGGAAAGAAATGAGGAAGAGAGCTAGAGAACTGAGAGATGTGTGTCAACGAGCCATTGCAAAAGGCGGATCATCTGACGAAAACCTGGATGCTTTTATCAGAAATATATGTAACACAAGGCCAGTAAGCCAGTAGCAGAATAAATTGATTTTGCCGTAGCTATGTTCGTTTCGTTTCATTTCGGTTCGTGTAATACTATGACAATCAGTTAGCCTACTAGCTATTACAGAGTTTTGTATCATTCTTCTGTGAGTGGTATTCTGTTTGAAAAAGGTGTTTTCTGCCAGTCTTCTGTTCTTGCTTTTCCCATTACTATGGATCATGACCGAAACGTTAAGGTAATTGTGGAGGATTGGAAGATTAGATGAAGGATCAACACCCAGGTAAATAAATGATAGATATAAAGAGAGGAAGTAATTGCAGGATTAGTGAGGAAGTTTATGTACTTGGATCTTCAGAAGATTAGTCTTGGTGCCGTTGCAAAAGTGGGATCGTTTGAGACCAACTAATGCCTTCTCAGACATATTTTTCAACTAAATGCCTAAGTCATATTTTCACTCCACGCTGCCTATAAGAGAAAAAAGGCTAATAATATATTTTTTTTCTTCTTCTCCTCTCATTATTTCACTCCACACTGCCTTTACTTCTCTCATTTTTTCACTCCCCGTTCAAGCTAGGTTTTCTCTCCACCGCCGCTCCTTCTCTTCACTACCGTGACCCTCTCTTTCTCTCAGAAGTCACCCACCCTTGCGGCCTTGCTTCTTCTTCTTCTTTCATCTCCGCCCTATTCTCTCTGGACTCTCGTCATCTCTCCATCAGATTCGGCCTTTGGGAAGTCGTATTCTTCTCATTTCTTCGTCAAATCAGCCTTCGTGAAGTCTTGTTCTTCTCATTTCTTCGTCAAATTCGGCATTCGGAAAGTCAGATTTCAAAATCTAAACTCGGTTTCAGATATTTCTCCCCTCCATTTTCTGTTTTTTTTTTTTTTTTTTTTTCTTCATTTTGATGATTTGATCTATGTTTGTGATTTTTATTTCCCTCGTGTTGATGATTTGATCTGTGTTTATGGTTTGGATTTATGTTTTTCGTTTATAGTTTGATCTATGTTTGGACTGAGTTTGGATTTGTGTTTATAGTATTTCCCCCCTATCCTCGCAAAAAAAAAAAAAAAAAAAAGCAATTTAAGGCTAATTTCTCATGAAGATGGTTTCATCACGAATGGGAAAATTCATTAATCCGGAGTTTTACTAATGTGCAGCCGGGGATGTTATTGAAGAGGAATTTAAAATGTAGAATTGCTTTGAGTTTTTTTTTTTTTTACTGATTGCTTTATGATGACTGCTGCTTATGTGTTGTTAATGCGCATCATCCTTGTTTATCCGTTGCTCTTTTCGAGCTCTACAATCATGGTAGAGCATAGCCTGTTAATCTAATTTTTCAGGCCAAAATTCACTTATTTTCATCAGTTTCAGAGGAAAAAAATCGGAGAACTGTGACTGAAAACGGCAATAACTTTGATCTAGAAATCGTTATTGGGCCTATAATATACCAAATTGAAGCTCTTTTTGAGCTCTACAATCATGTCAGTTCGTAGCCCGCCAACCCAATTTTTTGGGCCAAAATTCACTTGTTTTCATCAGTTTCGAAGGAAAAAAAATCAGAGAACTGTGACTGAAAACGGCCATAACTTTTTATCTAGAAATCGTTACTGGGCCTTTAATATACCAAATCGAAGCTCTTTTCGAGCTGTACAATCATGACCGGGCATAGCCTGCCAACTCAATTTTTCGAGCCAAAATTCAATTATTTTCATCAGTTTCGGAGAAAAAAAAATCGGAGAACTGTGACTGAAAACGGCCATAACTTTTTATCTAGAAATCGTTACTGGGCCTTTAATATACCAAATCGAAGCTCTTTTCGAGCTTTACAATCATGACCGGGCATAGCCTGCCAACTCAATTTTTCGAGCCAAAATTCAATTATTTTCATCAGTTTCGGAGAAAAAAAAATCGGAGAACTGTGACTGAAAACGGCCATAACTTTTGATCTAGAAATCCATACTGGGCCTATAATGTGCCAAATCGCAGCTCTTTTCGAGCTGTACAATCGTGGCTGGGCATAGCCCGCCAACTCAATTTCTCGGGCCAAAATTCACTTCTTTTCATCACTTTTGGAGGAAAGAATATCGGAGAACTGTAACTGAAAACGACCATAACTTTTGATCTAGAAATCGTTACTGGGCTTATAATATACCAAATCAAAACTCTTTTTGAGATGTACAATCATGGCCGGCGGAAGCCCACCAACTCAATTTTTTGGGAGCAAATTCACTTGTTTTCATCAGTTTTGGAGGAAAAAATCGAGAACTGTGACAGAAAACGGCCATAACTTTGAATCTAGAAGTCGTTACTGGGAGTATAACATACCAAATCGTAGCTCTTTTCGAGCTGCACAATCGTGGCCGGGCATATCCCAACAACTCAATTTTTCGGGCCCAAATTCACTTGTCTACATCACTTTCCGAGGAAAAAAAATCGGAGAACTGTCACTTAAAATGACCATAACTTTTGATCTAGAAATCGTTACTGGGCAAATAATATACCAAATCAAAGCTCTTTTCGAGATGTACAATACTGGCCAGCCGAAGCCTGTCAACTCAATTTTTCGGGCCAAAATTCACTGCTTTTCATCAATTTCGGAGGGAAAAAATTGGAGAACTGTGACAGAAAACGGTCATAACTTTTGATCTAGAAATCGTTACAGGGCATATAATATACCAAGTCGAAGCTTTTTTCGAGCTCTACAATTATGGCAGGGCATAGCCCACGAACCCAATTTTTCGGGCCAAAATTCACTTGTTTTCATTAGTTTCGGAGGAAAAAAATCGGAGAACTGTGACTGAAAACGGCCATAACTTTTGATCTAGAAATCGTCACCGGGCCTATAATATACCAAATCGAAACACTTTTTGAGCTCTACAATCGTGGCAACACGTAACCCGCCGACCCATTTTTTGGGCCAAAATTCACTTATTTTCATCAGTTTCGGAGGAAAAAAATCAGAGAACTGTAACTGAAAACGACCATAAGTTTTGATCTAGAAATCGTTACTGGGCCTATAATATATCAAATCAAACCTCTTTTTGAGATGTACAATCATGGCCGGGCGAAGCCCGCCAACTCAATTTTTCAGGCCAAAGTTCACTTGTTTTCATCAGTTTCGGAGGAAAAAAATCGGAGAACTGTGACAGAAAACGGCCATAACTTTTAATCTAGAAATTGTTACTGGGCCTATAATATACCAAATCGAAGCTCTTTTCAATCTCTACAATCATGGCCGGGAATAGCTTGCCAACCCAATTTTTCGGGCCAAAATTTACTTGTTTTCATCAGTTTTGGAGGAAAAAAATCGGAGAACTGTGACTGAAAACGGTCATAAATTTTGATCTAGAAATTGTTACTGGGCATGTAGTATACCAAATCAAAACTCTTTTTGAGCTCTACAATCGTGGCGGGACGTATCCCACTGACCCATTTTTTTGGGCTAAACTTCACTTGTTTTCATCAGTTTCGGAGGAAAAAAATTGGAGAATCAAAACTCTTTTTGAGCTCTACAATCGTGGCGGGACGTATCCCACTGACCCATTTTTTTGGGCTAAACTTCACTTGTTTTCATCAGTTTCGGAGGAAAAAAATTGGAGAATCAAAACTCTTTTTGAGCTCTACAATCGTGGCGGGACGTATCCCACTGACCCATTTTTTTGGGCTAAACTTCACTTGTTTTCATCAGTTTCGGAGGAAAAAAATTGGAGAATCAAAACTCTTTTTGAGCTCTACAATCGTGGCGGGACGTATCCCACTGACCCATTTTTTTGGGCTAAACTTCACTTGTTTTCATCAGTTTCGGAGGAAAAAAATCGGAGAACTGTGACTGAAAACGGTCATAAATTTTGATCTAGAAATTGTTACTGGGCCTATAACATACCAAATCGAAGCTCTTTTCAATCTCTACAATCATGGCCGGGAATAGCTTGCCAACCCAATTTTTCGGGCCAAAACTTACTTGTTTTCATCAGTTTTGGAGGAAAAAAATCGGAGAACTGTGACTGAAAACGGTCATAAATTTTGATCTAGAAATTGTTACTGGGCATGTAGTATACCAAATCAAAACTCTTTTTGAGCTCTACAATCGTGGCGGGACATAGCATGCCGACCGAATTTTTTGGGCTAAAATTCACTTGTTTTCATCACTTTCGAAGGAAAAAAAATCGGAGAAATATGACTAAAAACGGCCATAACTTTTGATCTAGAAATCGTTACTCAGCCTATTATACACCAAACCAAAGCTCTTTTTGAGATGTACAAGAATGGCCGTCCGAAGCCCACCAACTCAATTTTTTGGGCTAAAATTCACTTGTTTTCATCAGTTTTGGACGAAAAAAAGCAGAAAACTTTGACTGAAAACGACCATAACTTTTGATCTAAAAATCGTTACTGGGCCTATAATATACCATATTGAAACTCTTTTTGAGCTCTACAATCGTGGCGGGACGTATCCCACTGACCCATTTTTTTGGGCTAAAATTCACTTGTTTTCATCAGTTTCGGAGGAAAAAAATCTGAGAACTGTGACTGAAAACGGTCATAACTTTTGATCTAGAAATAGTTACTGGTTCTATAATATGCCAAATCAAGGATCTTTTTGATCTGTACAATCGTGGCCGGGCATAGCCCGCCAACTCAATTTTTCGTGCCAAAATTCACTTGTTTTATCAGTTTCGGAGGAAAAAAAATCGGAGAACTGTGACTGAAAACGGCCATAACTTTTCATATAGAAATCAATACTGGGCCTATAACATGCCAAATCGAAGCTCTTTTCGAGTTGTACAATCATGGCCGGGCATAGCCCACCAACGCAATTTTTCGGGACAAAATTCACTTGTTTTCACCACTTCGGAGGAAAAACAATCAGAGAACTATGACTAAAAACGACTATAACTTTTGATATAGAAATCGTTACTCGGCCTATAATACACCAAACAAAAGCTCTTTTCTAGATGTATAAGAATGGCCGTCCGAAGCCCAGCAACTCAATTTTTCGGGCCAAAATTCACTTGTTTTCATAAGTTTCGGAGGAAAAAAATCGGAGAACTGTGACTGAAAACGGCGATAACTTTTGATCTAGAAATCGTTACTGAGCCAGTAATATACCAAATCAAAACTCTTTTTGAGCTATACAATCGTGGCGGGACATAGCATGCCGACCGAATTTTTTGGGCCAAAATTCACTTGTTTTCATCAGTTTCAGAGGAAAAAAAATCGGAGAACTGTGACTGAAAAAGGCCATAACTTTTGATCTAGAAATCCATACTGGGCCTATAATATGCCAAATCGAAGCTCTTTTCCAGCTGTAAAATCGTGGCCGGCTATACCCCGCCAACTCAAATTTTTTGGCCAAAATTCACTTGTATTCATCAGTTTCGGACGAAAAAAATCAGAGAACTATGACTGAAAACGACCATAACTTTTGATCTAGAAATTGTAACTGGGCCTATAATATACGAAATTGAAACTCTTTTTGAGCACTACAATCGTGGCGGGACGTAGCCCGCTGACCCATTTTTTAGGCCAAAATTCACTTGTTTTCATCAGTTTCGGAGGAAAAAAATCGGAGAACTGTGACAGAAATCGGCCATAACATTTGATCTAGAAATCAATACTGTGCCTATAATATGCCAAATCGAAGCTCATTTCGAGTAGTACAATCTTGGTCGGGCATCGCCCGCCAACTCAATTTTTCGGGTCAAAATTCACTTCTTTTCATCACTTTCGGAGGAAAAAAATCAGAGAACTGTGACTGAAAACGACCATAATTTTTTATCTAG